TGGACTCGATGATCTTCCGAGGTCCCTTCCAGCCCTAATGTCTATGAAATATATGAACACAATACTTGCAGGTGTGCACTGTCTACTGAGGGCAGCCACTCACTTTGGTATCTGTCATGGACAGAGCTTGGAAGATTTCATCTTCCTTCTTTTTCCAATTCAACCCTTACCTCAGGCCCAAGAGCAAATTTAGGATGCTTATCTGCACTTTTAGTTCAATTCAATACCATTTGAATCCTGGGGTTTGCTTTAAGGCCTTGTCTAATTTGTCAGGGATGAAGGGCCATTTAAGTTATTTTTCTTTATTTTAAACTGGTTCCAATAATTCCAATAATGAAAAGATCATTGCAGTGGTAATGTTTTAAGGGGACTAACCTGACAGGTTTTGTACACCTGAAGATCTAGATCTACAAAAGCACTTAGTTGCATAAGTCCAACATTTAAATCCTTGAAACTCCATTTGCCACCCCCCTAACTCTGGAGGCAATTGATGTTCAGTTTTTTTATATAAAGTTCCCCAAATATCTCCTTCTGGTTATGCTTACCACAGCCTTACCTCATGGCAAATCAACAAAAATCTCATAACCAAATCCACTTGGGATCCACAAAAGTGCTGTTTATCCCCACGTTTCACCGAAGGGACTCTTGTGGGTATTCTTGGAGCCTGCGTTCTTGATTGCTGTGAACATGTAAATATTTGCATTACAATAGCCCTTTAATCAGTACATTTAATCATTGCCTTAGATGTACTCTGCATAAATGTAGCATAAGAAAGTCCCTGCCTTTGATTTTACAATCTAAAATCATGGCACAATTACCATGCCAGGCAAAATGTCCTCCAAATATCCCGCCCTGCTCCTTGTGGGCTGCCTCATAAATTATAAACTGCGTAGCGACCTTTTCGTAGTGTCAGAAGGAGTGTGATGAGCATGAGAAAAGGCTAAGTGGTACATCATTGCCCCTGTTGGTCAGCAGGGCTAATTAACCTTTTTGTGGTGCCACATGTATGTAACTGCACATCTTTAGAAGACAGCCTCCTGCATGGAGCAACATGGAGTGTTTGTCAGCACAGCTGACTGGCACATGAGTTTTTCATGTGGATGTGTCCCAAATAGGACATGATAAAGGGATGGGGAAAGGAAGTGGGGTTATTCCTAGTTACCTTGTTATTTCCAGTCAGCACTTAATTTGACTGTGAAACTCATTGTCACAGGATGTTGTAAGTAGGATTCCCAGAGGGAATAGAGGTTTCTATGGATAACCAGAACATACGGGGTTATAATAGTTAATGAGAAAAACCCCAAATCTTAAGGCAATCCCTAATTGCTGTGGATAGTATGGGACCTTCATGTGGCAAATCATCCCACATCTATCTGTCCACTGTGTAATTATTCCTGTTTTCTCCTCTGAAATGTGTGGTACTGGCCACTGCTAGAGACCAAACACTGGACTAGATGGACTATGAGTCTAATACAGTCTGGTGACTATGTTGTATCTATACCAGTCATCACCAGCCAGTGGATCTCATAGTTTCATAGTTTCTAGGGTCGGAGTACTGGGGTCAAACGACCCCAGTAAGGTGGTCATCCAACCTCCTCTTAAAAACCCCCAGGGTGGGAGCCTGCACCACCTCACTTGGAAGCTGGTTCCAGACCCTAGCCGCCCTGACCGTGAAGTAGCGCCTCCTGATGTCCAACTTAAACCTTCCCTCCGCCAGCTTGTGACCATTGTTCCTGGTCACTCCTTGCGGCGCTCGGGGGAACAGGGACTCCCCCAGCGCCTGCTGATCCCCCCTAACCAGTTTATAACAGGCCACAAGATCCCCCCTCAGCCTTCTCTTTTGAAGGCTG